AGAACCTTCAGAACCTTGAGAACCTTCAGAACCTTATTTTATGAACCGTTTGTTTCGTTTGAAATTATTCAGAAACCATCGAAGTGTTGAACGTGACGCAGCAGTGAAATGACACGAACAAGATCTGATCGTTTTCTTTTTTCAAAGATAAAAACCTGATATTAATATAAAGTGTTTATTAAACTGAAGATTTCATGAAACTGAAACGTGTATTTTACTCTGAAAAACATTTGATTTCTTGATCATCATCAGAAGCTGAAATTTATTTTTTTTACTTTCTCCGGAGTTTGTGATTAAAGAAAGTTTTTCAAAGTAAGATATTTTGATGTCATGTGACGTACCTTCCAGCAGAAATCCTCAGAGTCTGGCGTGTGAACGGAAGCAGAGCAGAGGTTAGTGGCAACACACAGGTCAAGGTTAAAGGTTAAAGGTGAAGACGAGCAGCAGGAAAACACCACAGAAGAAGAACGAGACAACAGGAAGTCCAAATCCTTTACTATAAAAGCTGAAACTCAAGACGAGTCAACACTACTTCCTGTTTACATCACATGACCAGCGTGCGTGAATGGTCATGTGACGTGTTTTCAGGTGTGTTAGTGTGGGCGGAGCCTCAACGGAAGCAGAAGTCATTGAATTAGTTTTTATTCTCCGGACTCGTTCATTGATCTGTTTGCTGCAGCTGAAGCAGAGTGTTTTCTTTCTAACTTCGAAAACATGAAACATGTATGAAAGTTAGAAAATGTTTTCTTTGTCATTAATAAGTTTTTAATTTCATCAAAGTATAATTGTGTTTGTAACGGTTCTGAACGAAGTGTTTTACCTCGTGCTGACAGGAAGAGGGAGCTGTTCAGGTAATGTGACGCCAGACGTTTCCGCTGCAGAGAAACAAAAACACATGAATTTAAATGTGATCAGTTTAAAACGTGTAACTTGTTTCCACGATGAAGTTTGATCTCTGACAGTTCCGCTGTATTAAGAATGTTTCGGACCTCGGGCTCGAACAGGCCGCTGTACGCTGGGTTGGCTGTGCTTCGTCTCTTCCTCTCCTGTCGCTTCATCTGAATCTCTGCTCGAAACAAAAGACGACAATCATCCAATGAAACAAACAAACCTTTTCTTCCTCGTTAACTAACGTTCATCATGTGAAGTGTGTTCCTGCTGCTCGGCGTGTGAACTCACCCTCCAGATGTTCTGTGGTGACGAGGCCGAGCGCGACCATGAAGGCGATTTTCTGTCAGAGACGCAGAGAACACGTTAGCGACGTTAGCGACGCTGCAAAGAGTCAGAGCGTCGCTGTTGTTTTCATGAATCAGGTTTTCTCACCTCGGGATCCTCGTCTTTCTTCTGCGACGGGGACTTCGGGGCGGGCGGCGCCTCCTGCGGCGGCAGGTCAGCCTGGGCCCCCGGGGGCCCGTCAGTGCTGCTGGGAGCCTGAGGCTGGATTATTATCACCTGGAAACACAAACAAGTGTTTTCAATCTTCAACTGTTGATCAGAGGAATCATTTAAAATCAGTCTAATTATTTTATGAATGAAATGAAATTTCTCAAAAATGAATCGTTATTAAACCGTTAATAATCTCTTTAGTTTCTCTTTCAAAATAAAAGTCTTCTTCAGCGCTGAAAACAAAGCTGGTGTCTGAAAATAATAAACTGATCAGACGTCAGTGACACGAAGAGACGATCGACACTTTGATTCAGATAAACAGTGGCTGCACCTTGACGGCCTCGCTGACAGCAGACACTCCGTTTCCTGTGGCGGGAGAGGCGGCAATGATGGCGTACGCCACGCCGGGTCCGGCCGAGGCGTGCTGGGTCGGACTGCTGGAGTCTGGGCTCCCCGACGGGTCATGGGGAGGGGCGGGTGGCGGAGAGGCGTCGCTCTGGCCGTTGGGCTGGTGGTCGGGACTGAAGGTGCTGTTGGCGGTGGGCAGGGTGGGGCCCTGGCTCTTGGGACTGACCACGGCGGTGGCCCTCTGCAGGCTGAGCGGCTGCAGCTCCTGACAGGGGCTGTGGGGAAGGCTGTCCGGGATCTGGGTCTTTGGCCTGACCTGCACAGCGACCACGAGAAAGTGTTAATGACTCAGACGCCTTCAGGACCTGGAACTAAACTCGGACCAGGTCCCGTCTCTCTTTGAGGGGACAGGTTACCATAGTAACCACTGTACTAAACCTTACCTGAGGTAGCACAGTGGCTGCTTGTCCTGCCAGCCGGTGCAGGGAGCTGACTTGAGGCACCTTGATGGGCACAGCAGCGAGAGTTCCCAGCATCTGAAACACATGCATCAGTTACTTCAGGGACACAAAGGCATGAACGTCAGCCGTGTTACACACGTGCTGCTTCTGAAACATCTGCACCGACGTCACCGGATCTAAAGAACACGTTCTGTTGTTGTAGTGACCAACAACAACCACAAGGGGAGCCCCACTGTGCTGCACACTACACTCATCATCCTCTAAATCTCTAAAACTTAGAACAAGTGAAATAAATCCAGAGGTTTGATCTGGAGCCTGAACGACGGGTTGATTCCTGTGAAGACTCAGCGAATCTAAAACGCTGCAGGCGACATGAACGCAGCTTTAATTCAGTTTAACCTCTGATGGAAGTCTGAGCTTCACTAAACCTCCTGAAGGAAACGGAAATCCTCCATTAAACCAGTTTCCTCATCAGAGGAGACGTGTTGCTTTAGAAATGAAAGAAAAGCAGCTGAAGTCTCTGCAGATTAGATTTATTTGTTTAAATCTGACACCAGAGCAGCTGCCTGTAGATTCAAAACTACAACTTTTAAAACATTACAAACAATCTAACCCAGAGGAGACGTCTCAATT